TGCCCTTTTTGAAGAATGGGATGACGGTCTAGAAGCTCCATTCAGCTGGTGCTCTGTTTTCGTTCCAAATCTTCTGCACTATGGTTGTCACATTGTTCACCAGGACCTCGGCACCTTCTCTAAAGTGTGCGGAGTAGAGACCGTCCACATAGGGCACCTTGTCATGCTTGAAGATTGGTATCTCATGCTGGATTTCGGTTGCCAATGGCGAGTTGGTGTCGATGTTTCAGTCAGGCCCGCTGGGTTCTTCTAGTGGTTCCGTTCCAGCTAAACTGTTCAGCCCATCGCTCAGGACGACAAATGAAAGAGTGAATTGTCATTTCATCTTTTTTTGCATATTGTTTTACCGACATGTCTTTTTTACCAGTTAATTGAATCAGCTGAAATATGGCGCGGCTGTCACCTATAGCGGAAGTCTTTTCCACCTCCTAGGCCTTCGAAATCCACCAGCGTTCCCTGTCATTTTTAAGCTCCTGCACCATCACAGTCGCTAGCTGATGGTATGGCATTTCTGGCGGCAATAAAATCTGTTGATCTCGAGTCGGGTGGTTTGGAAAAACGGTTCTGAAACCCGAGAGTATTGCTTCATTAGCTCGTCTTCATTCAACCTCCAGACAATATTCCTCATCCACACGACTGTTCGTTTCCAGTGGCTTTCTGGCATGAGCTAATGAAACTTGTCTGTACTGCTCTGCTGTGGCAGATGTAGTGCTGACGGAAAGCGAAGTGATAACCGGGCTCGCATAATGGTATGATCAGAGCCAAGTGGCGCACCCCAGAAGGAACGACAATGCTTAATTGAGGCACTTTATCTGATAATCACGTGCTTCAACTGGGTTCATAACTGTCTTGCGGTTGGTGACCCTCATGTACCTGGCCAATGACTAGAAGACACGGATGGTCAAACACTGGCATCTTTCGTACGTGCTCTGCGCCTAGAGGGAACATCTTTGATTCATAAAGAAGTATGAACTCTGCCCTTAACAAACTCACGTCACGTCGGCGCCATAGGTTGCGGAGGTTGGCAAAAACTGTCTTGGCTTTCCCGATCCGAAAAATAATCTCATCTCCAGCCAGTCCACCAGGACTTATACAGCTGTCCAGGTACACAAATTATCTATCACATCGATTGACTCGTCTGCAAGCATGAGGTGTCAGTTTGATCCCACCCAGTCTTGTAGCAGCACTTTACACTTTGCAGGTGTGAAGTGCATGCATAACCGTGCGGCAGACTTACTTGGGTTATTGAAAATCGTTTGCATTTGGGAAGGATCTGAACCAAGGAGTGTAATATCATCTGCATACTCAGTTTCTGTGAGCGAACGTCCCAGGAACATTTCGACTCCCGAGTCAGACAAATTCCAAGCATCACATCAATAATAAAGTTGAAAAAAAAGATGAGAAAGAGCAGCCTTGTCTTACAACACTGGACGTGGTGAACTCGAACGAAAGCCTGCCTAATACTCGTACGCGCCCACAGGAGTTCGCATACAGTGCCCAAATAAAGATATAAACCTGCAAGGGATGTCTTTGATCGCCAGGCACTGCCAAAGTTTCAGAAGATCGACAGAATCAAAAGTAGCTTTCAGATCAAGAAAAACGACCAAGGTGAGACGTCTGAAGGAGTGGCGCTGCTCAAGAATTTGTCCCAAGGTAAAGATATAGTCTATGCATCCTCGACCACAGCGAAAACCAGCTTGGCTCCCACGAATCTCTCTCCCAGTAATCGATCAATCTGCGCAAGATAATGCCAAAGAGCGCCTTAGATGCGAGAAATACCATGCTGATATCACGATGTTTTTCACATGACGTTCTTGTGCCCTTTTTGAAGAATGGGATGACGGTCTAGAAGCTCCATTCAGCTGGTGCTCTGTTTTCGTTCCAAATCTTCTGCACTATGGTTGTCACATTGTTCACCAGGACCTCGGCACCTTCTCTAAAGTGTGCGGAGTAGAGACCGTCCACATAGGGCACCTTGTCATGCTTGAAGATTGGTATCTCATGCTGGATTTCGGTTGCCAATGGCGAGTTGGTGTCGATGTATATTGAAGATCTTGAAGACAATCCCCATGATCCCTTGAGAAAAAAACATCATACTTCCACAAAGCAAAAGATTTCCGGATCGGGCGGTTTCATTTTCATCTCGGGTATACCACATGCCATACCAGGAGATCAATCAATTCAATCAATTTTCGGCTACGAACCACGTACCACAAGCAGCTACCAGCTGCTACAGGTTAGATCACCGGGGAGTGAGAGAGAACGAGAGATACGGCCAGGTCAAAGCATGTTCAAGAATTGGATAGCTACGCACTGATAGCGATACCCTCGATGCATGAGTACCAATGAACGCGCCATTACGCCATTTCTACCAGTGTCATCGACCATTGGTGCATTGAGTCCCCATCCAGGAAGGCGGCAGTTATCAACGCGAATAAGTTTACTGGTTAGTTTTCATACTTCGCCGCCAGGTCAAACATTGTTCACCTCTCGGTCGCTTCTGCTCGGCAAAAAACAAGGCGAAGAGAGCTATGCGAGGCAGTCTTCTGGCATCCGGGGTACATGTTTTAACCAGCGTACCCTACGAAGGTGAGTAATTAATCTGTCGCGTGAGAGTTCCTTCTTCCCAAGACCATCTGGCGTTCCTCAGCATTCCTAATCCGATGTTCTGACTAGACCTGGCCAATGACTAGAAGACACGGATGGTCAAACACTGGCATCTTTCGTACGTGCTCTGCGCCTAGAGGGAACATCTTTGATTCATAAAGAAGTATGAACTCTGCCCTTAACAAACTCACGTCACGTCGGCGCCATAGGTTGCGGAGGTTGGCAAAAACTGTCTTGGCTTTCCCGATCCGAAAAATAATCTCATCTCCAGCCAGTCCACCAGGACTTATACAGCTGTCCAGGTACACAAATTATCTATCACATCGATTGACTCGTCTGCAAGCATGAGGTGTCAGTTTGATCCCACCCAGTCTTGTAGCAGCACTTTACACTTTGCAGGTGTGAAGTGCATGCATAACCGTGCGGCAGACTTACTTGGGTTATTGAAAATCGTTTGCATTTGGGAAGGATCTGAACCAAGGAGTGTAATATCATCTGCATACTCAGTTTCTGTGAGCGAACGTCCCAGGAACATTTCGACTCCCGAGTCAGACAAATTCCAAGCATCACATCAATAATAAAGTTGAAAAAAAAGATGAGAAAGAGCAGCCTTGTCTTACAACACTGGACGTGGTGAACTCGAACGAAAGCCTGCCTAATACTCGTACGCGCCCACAGGAGTTCGCATACAGTGCCCAAATAAAGATATAAACCTGCAAGGGATGTCTTTGATCGCCAGGCACTGCCAAAGTTTCAGAAGATCGACAGAATCAAAAGTAGCTTTCAGATCAAGAAAAACGACCAAGGTGAGACGTCTGAAGGAGTGGCGCTGCTCAAGAATTTGTCCCAAGGTAAAGATATAGTCTATGCATCCTCGACCACAGCGAAAACCAGCTTGGCTCCCACGAATCTCTCTCCCAGTAATCGATCAATCTGCGCAAGATAATGCCAAAGAGCGCCTTAGATGCGAGAAATACCATGCTGATATCACGATGTTTTTCACATGACGTTCTTGTGCCCTTTTTGAAGAATGGGATGACGGTCTAGAAGCTCCATTCAGCTGGTGCTCTGTTTTCGTTCCAAATCTTCTGCACTATGGTTGTCACATTGTTCACCAGGACCTCGGCACCTTCTCTAAAGTGTGCGGAGTAGAGACCGTCCACATAGGGCACCTTGTCATGCTTGAAGATTGGTATCTCATGCTGGATTTCGGTTGCCAATGGCGAGTTGGTGTCGATGTTTCAGTCAGGCCCGCTGGGTTCTTCTAGTGGTTCCGTTCCAGCTAAACTGTTCAGCCCATCGCTCAGGACGACAAATGAAAGAGTGAATTGTCATTTCATCTTTTTTTGCATATTGTTTTACCGACATGTCTTTTTTACCAGTTAATTGAATCAGCTGAAATATGGCGCGGCTGTCACCTATAGCGGAAGTCTTTTCCACCTCCTAGGCCTTCGAAATCCACCAGCGTTCCCTGTCATTTTTAAGCTCCTGCACCATCACAGTCGCTAGCTGATGGTATGGCATTTCTGGCGGCAATAAAATCTGTTGATCTCGAGTCGGGTGGTTTGGAAAAACGGTTCTGAAACCCGAGAGTATTGCTTCATTAGCTCGTCTTCATTCAACCTCCAGACAATATTCCTCATCCACACGACTGTTCGTTTCCAGTGGCTTTCTGGCATGAGCTAATGAAACTTGTCTGTACTGCTCTGCTGTGGCAGATGTAGTGCTGACGGAAAGCGAAGTGATAACCGGGCTCGCATAATGGTATGATCAGAGCCAAGTGGCGCACCCCAGAAGGAACGACAATGCTTAATTGAGGCACTTTATCTGATAATCACGTGCTTCAACTGGGTTCATAACTGTCTTGCGGTTGGTGACCCTCATGTAACAGGATGTGAGCGTTTGTGTTGAAAAGTTGTACTGGCCAGGAACAGACGATGATCTGCACACAACTGGAGTAGTCGCTCCACATTATCCGTAGGATCAGCATCGACTCCAAATCCGCCACGTAATTGTGCCCATTTCGGATTTAGTCGTCCAAATTGGGCACTCATTACCCGCCAGGATTACTATATCCGTCCTTCTTGCTGACTGAAGCAGTCACAACAGACCTTGATTAAACCCGTCCATCTCAGTTTCAGAATTGCAGTCTGCTGGAGAGCAAGCTGATACGACAAATACATACCGTTTACCGCATTGACCTGCGCTAATCTTAACTGAGACAAAAAACCGCAGAGCGTAAAGACGACTGTTAACTGGGATCCAATTCAGTAAGGCGCTTTCAGCCCTGGGGCTGAGTGTCACTCCCACACGGCAGATACTAGTCATTGCGTCAAGATCACCGGATAGTGAAATGTGGGCCATCTGGGTTCATCGTAAGTTATTATTTTGATTTACTTTTCTAGGTGAAGGTTTAGGTACAGAATATTGGCTAGGGAAATAGAAGATGGGTTAAGAGCACTACGCTTTTTATGGGTGGGGAAGTGTGGGAGAAGGCCGGTGAGCGAAAAGCTGCAGGGGCAAATGATAGTCCCGATTGCCCAGGCCGAAGAAGGGCGTTTGGTTGAGGTGCCCCACCTTTAGCCTTGACTTAAAAGTTTGACCCACAAGGCAGTGGGAGGATGTCCGGTTTGTTCGAGGACCGTGCCCCTAGCCTCTGACTCAACGGTCTGGGCTGAGAGACAGCGGTTGTTAGGGTTTTCTTGGGGGGGGGGCGTGCCTGGAGCCAATGACTAAAAGTCTGGCCCGTTCGGCTGCAGAGGGCTGTCCTGGCCCGAGGGCGCGGGGAGCAAGGCATTACTGTCTCACTTCTAATGCAGCTGCGCACAGTTGCCTTTTGAGCAGCACCAGACTCTCTGATTTTAAAAGTGTTTCTACCGTAGTGAATAATACGCCGGCTGTCACGGTCAACTATTAGGCGATCGGAGTGTGGTTTTCAAGGTCGATGTTTTCTAACCCATCCTTCCTCAGGGGAAGACAGCATCGCTGCTTTCAGAGATATTGGCATGTTGGTCGCCTGGGGGAAAAGCCTTACTGCCTTCATACTTCTATCGCAGAGGACAGTAGGACTTTACCTCCAGACTACTCCGTAATACGATTACTTGCAGTATGGGGACCCGCTGTTCTTCGTCCGGCTACTCCCGATGGGCCTACCTGGCACGGTTGAACCTTAAGAAAATGAGTTCCAGCCACTATAGACCGCAGGATCATTGCAGCACAGAAGCCAGACCGCCACGACAAGGCGGCAGCTTTAGGTCGGGTGCAACAACGGATTATACAGGACAAGGTCCGGAAGAAGTAGATGTGTCTGCGGAAGAACTACGTTTTCAGCCAGACAAACGATCCCCGGAATATCTAACGACACTTGAAAACTTGACAGGAGCAAACAAACAACACTTACTTACCAGCATTCCTTCACCGAAAAATATTAATTTTCCAATTGAGCCGGTGTTAGCGGGAAGCCCAAACAATTGTCTGTATTCTTCAAATAAATGTGCTTTACAAAGGTGCCTCATGTTCCAGTTGGTATGATAGCAAGATATCGTCGCATATATTCTTGACATTATACCACTTACATGGTTGTCGAAAAGTCTTTGACAGCCCACTACCAGTTTCGTCCTCACTAGGGGGATCATAAGACAGTCCCTGAGTTTACGTCGGCCTCAGTTCCGACTCGAACAATAAATTGTATGCAACTGGTGAAATACACAAATTTGCACACAGGTAGTCGGAGTTTTCATCAAAACTATAAATAGCATCTGTGCCTAGCTAGCTAGCTAGCCTGCTTCGTTTTATTCATCAGGTAACAATGAACGGTACTTTTTGAAAGAGACAAAACATAAAAAGACCAGTTGAACTGATTCGTGACAAAACCTGTATTTACGATGCAAGACGGAAAAAATACGTTCGGAGACAAGCTGAAAGACGTGGTGCTCTCTGACAACAGCATATCCATAGAGACGGAATCGAGAGTTCTGCATAGAGCAGACAAGGAGAGAGACGAGTGGGAAATCACCATCGCCAGCGTAGGAGAAACCAACAGACGAAAAAGAAGAGGGTAGCAAAGCATAACAGATAACAGTACAAACCAAGAGTGGAGCCATGACGTCCAAGCCCAAGAACGCGATTCATTGTGGAACGCAGTAGGCCTTCGGATCGGTCAAAGGTTCCAGCCATCCCACCTAAAAGAAAGTTTTGATCTCTCAGTTCGTCCCCAATACGAATGGACAGGCTTCGCAAGTTGGAGACCTTCTGGTGGAGCTCAGCATTCAAGCGCTCGTGTTCGTCTTCCAATCCGGAAGATGTAGTCCGTGGTTGACTGGGCATGTGGGGATTTTTAACTGATGGTCGAGTTGAATGTTCCCTTGGATTTGGACGCATCGATACAGGGATAAACCTAAAAGATGGAGTTGGGTAATAATTCTCATACATGAACATATCTCTGGTGCTATAAGTAGGATGCTTTCGGTAAGCCCTCTGACCTGATACCATTGGATGGGTTATAAGGCAATAAACATTCGTAGGATGCCAAAGAGAATGTCGAAGTTAGAGAAGATTGTGAGGAATGAAAGTCAAATGTATAAGGAATGCTGTGGTGAAAAAATGGCAGAACAAGCATACGAGTGTGTGGTTCGGGAAAACACCGTCGGGCTTAATTAGCCTCAGCCGAGATGTCTGGATGACACAACAAAAGACCGTTATTTATGAGCCAAGAACGTCAGATGGTTTCCTGACCTCCGCCCCCGTTCCCCCACTGTTTGTATGAACAGCAAGCCTGGAAATCTTTTAGAGCACTATTGTCAGGACACAGCTCAGTTATCAAGGGCGAGCAAGTCTAAGTCGCCCAGTATGATCACCGCCGACAAGGAATACGTCAACTCACTGATTCGTTGAATTCATACTTGGAGAAAGAACTGAGGTGCAATTTTTGCAATTGCAACCAGAATCGACATGTGTAATTCACCCTTGGAGTTTACTCGCCACATTCCAGAAGACAACTTCTGAAAACACAGTGGTCACTATGAGGCTTATCAGCACCCGGGAGGATAGCTTAGTTTTGAATTCTACCAGCTTTCAAAACGCACAATGTCAGCAGTAACCTAACTGATGCACATGTTTCACATTTAAGTGTTTCGTTCAGTTTGTAAGCCACGTCCATTGTTTCAGAGTAACTGAGTTCCCGTTCTAGTCCACTGAGGATGTTGGGGATCATGAAGTGCCTATGCATTGGAAAAAAAGCTTAACGGGTTTAGTGATAGAGTGGTCGACTGTTCACGCAAAGCGGGAGGTTAGAGGAAACAAAAGCGACGGATTCAATAAACAAGCGGCATAGACTGGTAAATTGCACTATACGCTGATGTCCCTCGTCCAGAGGTTTCTATATGGGTGCTAGAAATTGCCAAGACAACTGGGTTGACAGGTCATGGTCTCACACTACGCTGTCAAATCCCATATTTGCCACATTTGGGTAATTTATACCCTTCACACAGACGGGCAAGAGGAGTTCTGTTAAGCAGACGTTCTCCTGATGTGCGAGAGACTTGTCCTGACCAGCGTACTCGTTACATTATGTCCAGCTCAGCTAAAGCCTTGCTGAAATCTCGTCCCTCAAAGAGCAACGGAAGCGAATAGGGAAAGTGTTGTGCCTTCGGCAAGTGCCAATCACACTTCTGATCCAGACAGTATTTTGAATCACGCTGTCGAATCGGTTCTTGATAAGAAGGCCCATGTCACAAAACGAAACGGAAGGTGGCAAAATCCATCCTCGCCTTTCTAGTGTGGGAAGTTATTTGGCCCAGGTAGGTAAACCAGTCGGCCAGTCTGCAACCAAGAGGTTTGATCCTGAGAGCTAGCAACTTGGATTACCAAACAACCTAGTTTATCCTATCAACGTAAATCGCCCGAGAGTTCCGATGCTTTATTTGCCCCATCGATGATCTAATTTGTAACCGCATTGTTTCTTAATTCATTCAAATACTCAAACTCTCAATAAGAAGGTGCACCGTGGATGAATCCACCACATGGTTATAATCTCAAATGTAGTACTGAAGCAATCTCTGTAATCTTCGTCGTGTGTCCCACCTTGGACCTTGACGTGACAAACACCATCACATCCGAAATCATTTCAGCCTTTTGATGTGAGTGGTGAGGAACTCGAATTCCCGCTTTCATTGAGGTTCGGACTGATCGTGTCAACGACAGCGTGGTCTTCTACATCGATCAACGCAGCCCCTGGTCGTGAGAGCTGTTAGAATTTCCCATGGCCTTCAACTGTGATGTATGATCGTGTCAGTTCGTGACCATCATAATTCATACTATAAAGCACCTATAATCCGGGCGTCTTTGTCCTTCCTCAACTTCATTGGCAAATTTCTAGAGCTGAAAAACGCAGCTACACGGCAGATAACTCTCTACACGCGTGAAAACAGAGCATGCGGACTCACTCGTACACTCACTAGAGAGAGAGAAGTCCTTGCATAGTAGGCCACACTTGGTGTGACCCAAAGTTGTATACTATAAGTGCGGAATCTTTGCGGTTTGTTTTACATGGTAAACTAACACTTAAGTGATTTGATGGACGGGATCACCATCAGCTTTAAAAACCGCTCACTTGTACAGTGTTTATAGCTGCCACAGTTTCGCTCACCGATGATTTGCAGTGAGGTAGATAGCTATGCACTGGAGGCGGTAGCAGATATAGTTGATGTGCAAGTAAGGGTTGTTAATGAACTCTTAGTTGGAGAGATTGGGAGAGGTCCTATGCATTGAAGTTAATAGCTTGCATGCAAGAGCGCCATTGAGGGCGCGACTGGGCAATGTTTGACAATATCTCTAATTATTGATGTGTCCCGTCTTGAGGCACCCATCCCAGAAGGTGGCAATGACCAGCGCAGTTGAGGTTGCTGGTAATGACTTACATGCTTCGCTGGAAAGTCATTGTTTGACCTCCCCGGCTCGTTTCCACTCTTCGTGAGGTTGTGCGAAAACAGTCCTTCGAATTCGGTCGACTGGCATACAGAGCACGTGGAGCACGTAACCTATGAAGTGTGATCAGTTCATCTATCGCGGACAAGCCATATGCTTTGAAAACCATCCAACGCACTCCAGCATTATTAATCCGGTGTTCACACCAGTCTCGAATAGTGTTCCAAATACATCGATGGCCAAAAACTGAAAATACTCTGACGTCCTCGGCACTCAGCAGCCATGTTTCCGATCCGTATAATAATGTGGAGCGCACCGCAGCATTCTGAACTCGACCCCTGGCGGATAAGCTATGCTACAGGTGATACAGGTTCACGAAGGCTGATCTGACCTTCCCAATCCGGATAGAAATATCATCTTTCGCTGGACCAGCTATCCAGCTAGATAGATTTGCTTACTACCTCAATCGGCTCATCCGGAGGCATGAGGTTAGGACTCGAGCCCATCAAGTCTTGTGGTAGGAATTACCGTTCTGCACATGTGAAGCGCATGTCAAACCAGATCAGAATTGCTTCGATTATTTAATAGTCGTTGGTTCGTTCGCTGAGCTGGGAAATTTGATTGCAAATTTTCATCACCAATCGAAGTGACATCACCAGTGCGTTATTTGGGAGCGTAGTGGTACATAGCGGTGGGTTAGCGGTATACCACTACGCGAACTGAGCTATCGAAATTTACCCCCAGATATTACTTATTGTTTACATAAGGAAGGCATAATATTTAAAAAGGGCTATGTTGTGAGGTAATGCTCCGGGAACACTTCGTATCAATGACAAATTTGAGGAAAGGTGGAAGCCTTGAATGACACTACTTGACATGGTGGACTCAGGCGAGGTTTTTCCACGGACCTTCACATGTCCGTGGGAGTCGGCGTATATCGCCTTGAGGAGGGTCACAGACGTCACCATAATGCCTGAGAATCTACACAGCCGAAGAGAGCTTTCAAGCCATGAAAGACAATTATTGTTGGTCACTGGAAGCAGTATTGACATTCCACAATCTGTCGGGGGAGAATTCGAGATGCAGAGGTCGGAACATGGACCTTCCCGTCGGTAAATTCGCGCTCTAATCGCTGAGCCACTTTGCCCCCAGGAAACACCTTACTACCCTCACACTCTTTTCGCAGAGGACAGTACGTTACCCCCGGACCGCCTCGTAGAACGATTACTCGTAGTACGAGGTCTCGGTGTTGTTGGTCTGATTTCATCACCCTGGCCTTCCTAGCATGGTTGTAACTTGTGAAACGAAAATCCAGCTAGTATTGCCCGCGGGATTATTGCAGCACTCAAGCCCAACCACCTCGTCAAGGTGGAAGATACAGGTGGAGAACAAGCGGGATGATGCCATTCCAACTTCCAGCTAGTCGAACCTATCGATCGAATTCCCACATCGGTCCGTAATTTTCCAGCAACATTGTTTGACTCGAACATCATAGTCAAAAGAATTTTTATGCTCGATCACTCAGTATGACGTCAAGATTCACACGTGTTTCCTGGTTATCCACGCAACAGGTTCACACCAAAATTCTGAAGGAGATAGCCACTGGTTTTTTAGCCAACTAAATTAGTCAATGGCTGTAAAACATCTGCACAATGAGGGATGAACCACTGATAATAGTTGATGATACGAATAAAACCACGAAGTTAGGGGTGATAGTGATGCACATGGGAAAAGACTCTAAGTTCAAAGTGCAATCTGATGATGGTGAAATACTGGTTGGATCAACGTGGTGACCAATAAATTCTAGGCTAGTAACCCCAACCAAGCATTCTTCTATGTTCAAACGCATGTTGTAGGTAGAAAGAAGTTGAAATACTGCCCTGCTATGATCTGCATGCTCAGCTGGAGAGGTGCTAGCAATTAATATGTCGTCTAGATAAGCATAGACAAAAGGTAAACCACGAAAAACTTCGTCCATGGAATGTTGAGAGGTTTGAGATGCATTTCGGATACAAAAAGGCATACGCGTGAATTCTAAAAGAATAAACGGTGTTGTAATAGTTGTTTCCGGTACGTCATCCGAAGCTACGGGGATATGGTAGTATATGCGTACTAGGTCGAGTTTGAAGGAAATATTTGTGTGGCACAAGATATTTGCGACATCGTGGTTATGTAGGATTGGGTATCTGTCGGAATAGTGGTGTTATTGAGGGAACGGTAGTCTCCACAAGGTTTCCAATCACCTGTGGATTTCTTGGGTACCATGTGCAGGGGTGAAGACCAGTGACTCGATGAAGTGCGAATGATGCCGAGTTCGAGAACGTGTTTAAACTCGTGTTTCACGATCTGGAGCTTATCTGGATGGAGTCGACGGGGATTGGCATGGACAGGTGGACCTCTCATCTGGATGTGATGAACGACGGAATGCGTGACCGGTTGAGTGTACTGACGTGCAAGAATAAGGGTAGGGAAATTCCTAAGGATGTCAACAAGATGGGAATCAGGTAGGATGACTCGGATAGCTGTGGATGAAGTTGGAACACTAATTCCGTTAACTGAGAGGGAAGTCGGTACGTCAAGGAGACGTCCATGACGCACATCCACGGATAAGTTGTAGTGGATTAGAAAGTCTGCGTCCAGGATGGGTTTTTGGACGTCGATCAGAAGGAAAATCCACTTGAACGCACGTCGCCCTCCGAGGTCAAGGGTGAGGAAACGTTCGCCATATGTAGCGATGCGGGTACCGTTAGCAGCTTGTAACGAATAAGAAGCGGAGTCAGGAAGCGGATTTTCATCTGGTGTGGAATGGGCAGCTAGCGCGAGGAGGGCCGCAGAGAGTGGTCGCCGTTACTGAGGGGTTGGGGTGTTTAAAGGGCTGTTCGAACGCGGCTTAAGGGAACAAGGCGGTTGGCATTTGCGTGCTCTGGGACCGGAAGATTGGTGCACAATCGCCAACCCATCGCTGCACATCACTGCGCTCCATAACAACGCACTGATGATGTCACCCGATTGGTGAGGAAACGTTTGTAATCAAACTGCCCAACTCAGCGAACGAACCACCGACCATTAGTGATACAGCACCAAAAGAAACGGGAACGCGACAATGACCGAGATCGTGAACGTGGTTGATGACTGTTGATTTCGAGCCGTTGTAGACGATCAGTCAAGGTGTCAAGTCTTGTCTACAATTGCGAGATGATGATACGGGACATAGAGGTTCAAAGTTTAACAAGCCAGAGTTGTGTCATGATTTCTACCGCCAGCTTACGGCCGCAGAGACTGTGCATATGGCGAAATAGTTGCGACGGCGACCTGTCCCCAATTTCGATTGTGTTGAATAAATCCCTAAGTATCTTATTTTTAGACTTGCCTGTCCTATTATTGAAGTCGCTCGAATAGCGTCATAAGAATTTTCCTTGGGGATGTCTTCCAGAAGATCCTCTATTTCCTAATGCACTACTCATAAGATTGTTGAAAATTCTTCGGCAGCCCACGACCGGCTTCGCCCTTCTTGGGGCTAATCAGGTAAACACACTCCCCAAGTTTCCGTCAGCTTTATGTTCTACTTGAAACCACATTGCACGAAATTTGCGAAATACGCTCATTTGCAAACAAATTTGGAACCCAGATGAATCGCTCGTTTGTGATGCCTGTGATCTCATAGCGACTGAAACATCAGGCGGTCAGGTGCAGCACATTCAGTTGCCTGCAAACATCACAAACGAGAGATTCAACTGGGTTCCAGGTGAGTCTCTCGTAAAACCAAAGTTGTTTACAGATGAGTGTATTCCGCTAATCTTCTATTTCTGTTGCGACATCATTATGAAGCTGTTGGATGACATAATAAAAACGGGTGCGTTAAAAAGTGATACGTCAGACCCTTAAAGCAGCCTCGGGATCACGGGGATTATAGTCTGGTAAACAGATGCTAGTCGTATTCTCGACTAAGTCAGATAAATCGAAGTATGTATCCATAAAGACCGGGCAGTAATCTGCAAGGCTCGGGCCGCGTTTGCTAATTTGAGATATCTATGGCGTCAGAGTGTTCTATCCCTGAATCTCAAGGGACGTGTGTATCAAGCTACCGTACTGACAGTTTTGTTGTATGGCTGTGAGACTTGGCCTATTCGAACAGCGGAACTGAGACGTCTTCAGGTATTCGACAACCGTTGTCTCAGAAACAGCTCGTGTGGGTTGGTGTCGGCGAATCCCTAACGAGGCAGTTAGAAAGCGCGTTTTCGGTTGTGCAACGGGTACTTCCGTTGAAGAATGTATCCAGCACAGGAAGGTGCGTTGGTGGGGACATGTGTTGCGTATGCCGAACCATCGTTTACCGAGGAGTGCGCTGATTTCCATGCCCAATCTAGAGTGGCGTAAACAGAGAGGTGGCCAACCCTTGACTTGACAAAGGTGTATGAAGGGGATCACGAAACGCTTGGGTGCTGTCGGTGCTACTCGCCTTCCAGGATGGGGAACGCGTGATTCTCAGTGCCTGGTTGGAGACACTACACCACCTTTACTGTTTTCTTCACAATAAGGCTTTCAAATAAATCATGGTTGTACGGCAGTGAAGCATCGGTGTTGAACACTGATGTCCTGCTGTCGATGATGATGAGCTGAACTAGCATATGGTGCACCTCTAAGTTTTCCTGGTGGACTTGTTTCCCCTTCTGGCCTAGAGCCCAGTTCACCGGCCACATTCGTTATCCGTCTGAAACGGCACATGTCTGATCTTCATGCGACGCTGACAAAACGATCAACACGAAAAAGCACATACCTCAACCGATCTATATTTTCCATCCTGGTTGGAGACACTACACCACCTTTACTGTTTTCTTCACAATAAGGCTTTCAAATAAATCATGGTTGTACGGCAGTGAAGCATCGGTGTTGAACACTGATGTCCTGCTGTCGATGATGATGAGCTGAACTAGCATATGGTGCACCTCTAAGTTTTCCTGGTGGACTTGTTTCCCCTTCTGGCCTAGAGCCCAGTTCACCGGCCACATTCGTTATCCGTCTGAAACGGCACATGTCTGATCTTCATGCGACGCTGACAAAACGATCAACACGAAAAAGCACATACCTCAACCGATCTATATTTTCCTTGATTTGTATTTTTCCGACATGACGCAATGAAGAAACCACTTCAGCTCTGTTATGATGGCCCCTTCAAAGCCTTCGGATGCCACTCCAAACTCTTCCTTTTAGAGAGAACCGGAAAGCATGATACGGTCTCCATTGATCGTCTGAAGCCTGCCTTCGTCGAAGCACCGACGACCATACTCAGTAACCCGCTGTCCCATTGGCATCCGCACCTAATCATGATACCCCTACCGTCAACCTAATTCCTTCCATTGGTCGTTCTGGACGACGCGTCCGCTTCCCTGAACACTTAACTGATTACGAAACTTGGTGTGAGCAACTTTGATTCATTATTTTTATACTTCTAGTTTGCCATTTTCATGTTTAACCCTTTAGTGGAGTAGTTTGGTTTTTTGTAGCCTCAGTCTGCTTCCATTATAACATTTCATGCTATCTTGGGAGAATTGTTCAAAAGACGATCCCTGGATAACCATAATTTGATTATTATTTATTCGCTATTTTGAAAAAGAACTTCTGAGTACGTTACGTTTGACCCTATTTATTATTGTATGCTCGATCTGGCGTTACGGTTTTTATTTCCTTGCCACACACTATTAGGGCGAGATGAACCAACTGATTAGAGCGCGAATTTACTGGCCAGAAGGTCCATGGTTCGAACTCGACCTGTATCTCGACTTCCCCTGTCTAGACTTGGGCAATCTGACAGTATCCCAGCCCTCGTGCCACATTTATGTGCCATGGCAGCTAGGCACCGAAAGGGTGCTACAGCTGAACGAGTTTTATTTTCATTACACTGCTGGTAAATTAGCTTTTAGGGTAGCCAGACCACTACACTAGTGAGTGAAAAGGAGACGAAAGGGAGTTTATTTCCCAAAGCGGATTTGTCAAAGAAGAAAACCAAAAACTATTTCCACAGGCGCCCTGTTTCGTTCGTTTTAAGAGAGCG